GAGTTAATGATTTGATGATGGTATCGTTTACCATGATGCGCAGTGTTCTCAAATTTATTCTGTTTTCCTTGCTCACATGACAGGGATTTTGGCGGGGTAACGTTCCTGCTTTACTGATGGTTATGCCATATACTGCCATACAATTTGCAGTGTTGCACAAATTGAAAACTTTTGCTAGTGGCTCTTCAAAGTCAGGTCTGTATCATAATTTGACCTGCTCGGGTAGATCTGTTAAATTTTATGCATCAGTTTTCCCCTTCTCATTTGTCACAAGCTGTACAGTTTTTGCACCTCGTGTGCTTTTAGAATTTGAATGTTGACGAGTTATATCTGGCCTAAGTTCAGTCCAGAAATCTGAGTTACATATTTAGCTGTTCAAAGATGCCTTTTGAGTAACACTATTTTCTACTTCTCTAAGCAAGCGTCAATGTCTGATGGACCGAATGTTCTTTATGATGCAGAGGATCACGTTAACTTGAGCCCTTATCTTTCTTATATCAGTGGAGCATTAGCTGGCTGTGCAGCTACTGTTGGTTCTTATCCGTTTGATCTCTTGAGAACCATTTTAGCTTCTCAAGGAGAGCCAAAGGTACGTGGCACCTATCTATGACATTTGTATATAATATAACCTTTTTTGCATTTGATGCAAACCGTGTACATACATGTGGAACCAGGCCTCTTGCAGTTCAATCACGTTTGTGTTGTGTAAATAGGACGTAATAAGAAAGGTATACGCTTAACAGATTCAGCTTCACCTGTAGTCATATGCGGTGTTTTTACTCAACTTATACATGGACACAGTTGATTGATTCGTTGGTAATATCGTGTCAAAGAAACGAGCAAACGAAAATCTAGGACAATGTTGTTTTTACATCTAGGGTCCTCGTGTTGTTAAGTCATGCATGTGGGAGAAACTACACAAAGTCACTTTCCCTCTGAATGCTTTTAATATGATTATCTGAATATACTGATGTCGGACGATTGAATATACTGTATCGTTATGCAAGCAATAACTACTTTAATTAATGTAAAGGAATGCTGTGTCATGTCTTCTTTCTTCTCCTGTACGTCCGTTGTAATGAGTTGAACCTACTGATTACAAATTAACATGGTCTTGGTCCTACTTGAAGTAAGTATTGAATCTGCACTGCGGCAATGGTTGGTTGGGGAATTGCTTGTTTATTCATCATCTAATTCAAGCTAATGGGTTTACCAGAAACTGCCTATGTAGATCATAGATGAAAAAATCAATGATCAGAAATTCATGTTAGTGTGTTTTTTTTCCTCCCTTTTTTTGGCAATGGAAAAGTCAAGTGGGATTTTCTATACGCTCTCCAGTTCAGTTGGAGTACAATATGTACACTACTTCAACATTCATCTTACCTAGGTTCTGTGGGACTTATGTGGTATGCTCACGCACAGGTTTATCCAAACATGAGGGCTGCATTTGTTGATATATTCAGAACTCGTGGCATTCGAGGGCTGTATTCTGGATTGACACCTACTCTTGTTGAGATTATTCCTTATGCTGGTCTGCAGTTTGGAACTTATGATACATTCAAACGCTGGATGATGGTAAACCTCTTACCCTCTTCAAAAAAAAAGATCACGGATTGTCGTCACTTGCTATACTTGATACTGTTCACAATTGCTTGGGGTATCCAGTATTGAAGTGGGTGTATTACTGCTCTGTTGGAGACACTTGTAACTTGTTCTAAATTCATAGAGGACATTTATGTACATAAGCTCTAAAAGTTTGAGGATATATTCTTACCTGTAATACTAAATACACAAAAAGGTACTATGTGTTAAGTTTCTGTCAAGATTTGATGTCCAAAAGTCGAGCTGGGTTTATGTCAAAGCTATTTAATGCTCGATTTCAATATTTTTCACGATAAAATAGAAGAAACATTAAAGTATAGGGGAAGTATTATGATGTAGAAGGTTTAAGAAATTACATTTGACCAAAATCCAGTTACCTTCGAAAAGACCACTGCACAAGTTTTAGTCCAAATGAAATCCGCTCTGGATACTATACTTCAAACTGTATTGGTTCAGAAAGAATGTGTCAATTCCTTAAAGGGGTCAGAGAGAGTGATATATGCAGTAGTCGTCACTGGATCGTACAAAAACCTAGAACCAGGAATTTCGGGTTGGTCTGAAAGCCTAGAACCAGGAATCTGATGATTAGGGTGACTGATTTTATTTAGCCATGTATTCTCAAATTATTTAACTTGAGAAAGAATTTAACCCCCTAGTGTTTGTATATTTTACACTATTTCTGCTTTTCTTGGAAAAATTTGGCCTTCTAAATTCACTCCACTATTCTGGAGATTCCTGAGAATGTAGTTATGTGTCAAAAGCTTATGCACACAGTCTCCTGTAATAGCTAATTTTTCATTTGATTACTAACTTCCTATTTGTTGTACAGTGAGAATATTCTTTTATAACCATTCGGCTAGTGTTTTGTCTAGGACTGCTAGCGATTTTTGTTGTGTTTCATAATTTTTATTTTATTATTTTATTAGTCTGATAGCGATTTTTATTTTTGTTGTGTTTCACATTTTGGCCTTCCCATTTATTTGTTGTATTTTACGATGCTGATACTATTTTTCTGATTTCTGTTGTGGTTACGGATCTATTGTCTCCGAGCCTAGGGTCACCCGGAAGCAGCCTCTCTATCCCTTCGGGGTAGGGGTAAGGTCTGCGTACATTCTACCCTCCCCAGACCCCACTAGTGGGATTCTATTGGGTGGTTGTTGTTGTTGTTCTTATTCAAAAAGAAAGCATAGTAGCAGGTTAAATGTAGCAAGTGTTCACAATAGTATTGCTCTCTCACAATATGGATTAACATTTGTAGGCCTGGAATCTTAGATCTTCTAATGCTATCCACGGTGATGAACATCTGTCGAGCTTCCAGCTATTCATCTGTGGTTTAGCTGCTGGGACATGTGCGAAAGCTGTTTGTCATCCTCTCGATGTTGTTAAGAAGAGGTTCCAGGTAGATTTCGGTTTCCATTGATCCTATGTTTGGGTTTGATCCGAACACTGAAAAATCTTGGGGTTACTGAGTTTTAAGGACAGCCTAGACATGTCTGCTTTTATCCCTAAGTAGGCTTCTTTGTGTTTTTTTAGATTTCAAACCAAAACGAGGAAAACATCCGGTTGTTTTCCCTTTAAAGCCAAACAATAACTTTTCTGGTTTTCAGGAACAAGAAAGAAAAAACCAAAGCGTTGTTGTCCAAAAACCAAAAACAAAGGCCCTGGTTCAAACCATCTTTTATTTTGCTGGATCGTTCTTCAAAATTATGGAGATTAAACAAAACAAAAAAGAAACTTTCAGCTACTTGCAGATACGTGTTGGCGCAAACAAAAATCTTCTATTAGTTCAATTATTTTTTCTGCCATTCAACTGCTAGAATTGATTGTTCCAGAACATATTGTTTCCCAAGAAACCAACCAAACCTCTTTCAAGTCCAAACGCCTGTCTTGAACTGGCTGGAATTTGGGATACCAGGAGAAGATCCAGTTCCTCCAATTTCCTTCTTCAAGCCAGTTATCATAAATTTAGAATCCTTTCTATAAAAACCTTTTCGAAGTCTCTTTGGCAACTACCGGGACCTCTATCAAGCTATTGAACTTGAGACATCCAGAACCTATGCAAGAAAATCCTCCTCTTATCGAGCTATTGAACTGGGACCTCTATCGCCTCCTCTTCTTTCACTTAGTTCATTCTCTAATCCAGCTTCCGTTTTCTGTGATCAATTCTTTCACCCCTTTGGTACAATTGTTTAAATTTAACTTACAATCTCTCTATTTCTGCACTCTGGAACCTTTTCATAAATATGACAAAAGTAATTATCTTGATTATCCACTATGACCCATATTCAATGCAGATGCCGCAATCAAGTGAATAAATTGTCATATTGAACCCGGGCCAATTTTTTCTGTCTTTTGTTATCTGTGATCAATCTCTTTTTGTCCTTTAGCATTGTTAAAAGGCAAAGATGAGGAAGGAAATCATATGCAGTGAATGTTTATTGCTTGCGACAATAGTTAATGTTGAGACCATATGTTTGCAGATTGAAGGACTACAGAGGCATCCAAGATATGGGGCTCGAGTCGAGCCTCGTGCCTACAGGAATATGTATGATGGCTTGCGTAGGATCTTGCTTGAGGAAGGTTGGGCTGGACTTTACAAAGGGATTGTCCCCTCAATTGTTAAAGCTGCACCTGCTGGTGCTGTAACATTTGTTGCTTATGAATATACGTCAGACTGGTTGGAGTCCCTATTGACTTGAAGCTGCATAGCTCTTTTCTTACTTCCTCCTCGATGGTGGCGATAATTTTGAGTTTTTGTTGGTTTTTATGTCATTCTTTTTCTCCATGTATCTTAAGAAGCCCCAGTAGAAGTGAAAAATGGGGCACTGTTTATATTGTTCAAATAGACCAACTAGTTTCAGGGCATAATTTACAGTTCTTGTAACAAAAGGGAATGTTATAGGTTTCATTCGGTTGGATGGATGGCTTTATCTTGTCTCTACAAGACACACAGCTCCTTTCTATAGTGATCACGCTTCTTTGTGTCTTTGGCAATATCAGAGATTCCACGGAAGCTCTTGATGCTTTTTAGCTTTTCTTTTTTCCTGTTTGTATCGTAACTGTTTCACTCAAAAATGCAATGGTAAAAATGACTATAGCAAAGAATGGATGCTGTCTTTGAGACTTTGACATTCCAACGATTGACCGATCAGAACTGTATATTACCAACCAAATCTGTTTATTTTCCACATTCATTGGACTGCAGTTACGTTTCTGCAGAAACCAATTTGTCTTGTTGCATACGCTATAACTGGAGGGATCGGAGGATGCGTTGTGTGACATATCAAATGCATATTGTGCTTCAATAAGCACAAGTCTAATGATTTTGGTGAAGCCTCATATTAATTGATCAAAGCTTGCTGCAACAACTTTTAGTTAGATATTTCCAAGACCAAGCAAGAACAACATCGTGCTGACTGCAAAATTAAGCATCTCGAATGTGAAGAACAAAAGGGTCCTCTTCTGGTACAATAAATATCATTAGGATCAATTTCTACAGATATCATGGCAACTGCACTCATATTTCTCCAGGCTTATGCTTGTAGGTCATTATTACAACAGAAGAACTTATAGCTGCAAAATTGTGATAAAATTGATGCATAATGGAAACCACCTCTGGGGAAGTGGCAACTCCCTCATTACTTTGAACTATCCATCACTGGCTAAAAAATATGATAGACATCTCAGGTGCTCCGCTTTTTGCTTGTGTCCTCCGGAGGCAATGATACAAACTGAAGAATCCTCTGAATCTGCGCGGCATCAACTCGAAACCGCTGAGCAATCTGGTTGATATCCATGGACCCTTTATGATCATCAGCTCTGCCTTGATGCAGGAGTATAATTTCTCTTATTTGTGCCACATTCAACGTACCTGGAGGAGCAGGCCTTTCCTCGTATCTGCTAGACTCTGATGTTGTATTCCTTAGCTTAGGTAAAGCTCTATCATACTTCTCCACCACTGATGCCTGTCACAGTAGCCAGGCATTAACAACTTAGTATCCTGATACATGTATTCTTGCAACTATTACTAAGTTAGACTCTATTTCAACTGAAGCATTTAATCATGTAGACAAATTAATTGTTGACTAACACGAGATCTTAAGTTCATTTGCACCCAAGAAAAAATCACTTGAGAGTTCGGTGTAAAAGAAAAAAAAAAGTTGTACTAGTATCAACTGCCAAGATTAAACTAATAATAGAGGTGGTTCAACTAAAAAAAATGATAAAATTTTCTTAGAAGATTGACCATTATCTAAAAAATGACAAATAGGAGTATGTAAGCGAGCAGTCATGGTGATCATAATCAATGTACAACCTTAAACAGCTTAGACTTAAAAAGACTTTTATAGGATTGTCATTTTCACCAGATTAACACAGGTTGAATTCTCCATGCCTGAAATAGATCATGTGATCATATCATTGTCTTACCCCTTTCGGTCAAAAAAAAAAAGGAAAAGGAAAGAATTGACTGAAAGCATAGAGGAGTTAGCACATACAGTTCACACTGCTCCTTGCTTACAGATAAGATGTGAGAGGAGGAAAGGAAGTAAAAATATGGAGATTGCATGCGAGCTTTTAAAAGCCCTTGATATTTAGACAGGTGCTTGGGGGGGGGGGGGGGGGGGGGAGGAGCATCCAGAACAACTTTAGGTACTACACTTTATCTTAGCAAAAGGCCGAGAAAGGTAAGACCAAATTTAGGTAAACTAGGACAAAAGAAACATATTTCCTTTAATACTTTGTGCTGACTTTTTGCGCTATCCTACCAAATGGCACAAGAAAATTTAGAATATACTTCCTACGAGGGAAGACAAGATTGGCCCCTCTAAATCACCCTCATCCTCCTCTTTTTCAAGAAAAATGTCGTACTTGAGAAATTAGACACATGAACCAAAAGCTTTATGCAACAATTCTGTGGGTGTGTCAAAAGGTGCAGAGTCAATAGGGCACAGGGCACACGTTCATTCTGAAAATTAATGTGCAAAGAAATGAGTTAACAATTGAAACTCACCTCACCCATCTCTAGCTTCCCACCAGGCTTAGCTTGAATTCTACCAACCATTTGACCAAGCATTGCATCAAACTTGGGATCTCTCTCTTCAAGGGTTTCTCCAACAGCATCCTTTGGGCTGCTACCTAAAGAAGCAAAAACAAATCACCACTTATCAAATCAGTAATTTTTGTTATCCAGCAAAGACTCCTGGAAGACATTATTCGAAGCTAGTTTTTTCCTAGACAGATAGAAAAGTAAACAAGTGAAGCCATTTACATTCTTGCAGCAAAAAAGCACCTAAATGGATAAAATAAATGTTTAATTCAAAACTCACAATTTGTCGTGCACTGTGATTAGAACAGATTATATCTCAATCTTATAGACCATTTCGCTGATGGAGACTCAAACTTAATTTTGCAATAAGCTGATTCATATCAATTCATATTTCGAGGGGATACACAAGATACACTTTCGATTGTCTCCGCAATGCTAGATATCAAAAAGATGGATAGGATTGAACTTTAAAGATCTGTTTTGTATCTTCTTCTTTTTAAGTGACGGGTGGATTAAAGATCTGTTTCTTACTGAAAGTTATCTTTTAACATGAGCAAATTATCTGGACAAAAACCCAATGCTGGCCTTACGTTATTCTCAAACTTGCACTGACAGATTACTCAAAAGCATAAAAACAAACATAAATATATTCCAACTGCTCACACAGCGACTTGGTATAATTGACCTCTGCTCTTGTGTACACATGCATGCCAAAGTACCATTCACCATTCTAGCTACGTAACAGTTCTACTATCCTAGTGAGCAGGCTTATTTAATAAATGAATCAAGCTCTAATTATAACTAACTTATTGAGCTTTGCACATTCCAAGCCAGAAAAATGAAGAAGGTTGCAGTTAAGTTTGCAGTCAAATTATGAATACTCCTCTGAAATTGATACTGAAGGTTCATAAAAATGAACCCAGCTAGTTTGGTATAGATGCATAGTTGATAGATTGATAAATAATGATGCTCTACTTATATTCTTAAGGAAATTACAACTGAATGAACAAAATGAGCAAAAGACCTCGACAAAACATTTGCTTCTGTAATGAGAAACATTTTTCTCATCCCACCTCCATATTCTTTCCGTATCTTATTCTCACATTCAAATTGGCAGTTTAACTCAAAACCTATGATTAACAATTCATGCAACAAACAAATCAGTTTTTGCAGACTCCCTTCTAATGGAAACTAAAAATGAGGGACAACCACACATTAACTAACCTAAATTTCCTTCTTAATCTAATGTTTTATAAACTTGCAGTAGGTCAATGGCCAGCATAAAGCTGCTCAACTTATGATGAGAAATGAAACCGTTCCAAATGGAACCAAAAAAATAGTGAGGGCTCATATAGCCGACCCCAACTAACTTGGGACCGAGGCGTACTTGTAGTGAAATTGATTAAAAAGGTCACTCACTAGTCACTACTGTTTTCTCAAATCACTCATGTTTTCGCTTAATTTTTTTGATCATGGTGATGTCAGCTTGCGCTCACCTCAGACTAATTCCACCTGGTCTTCCTCCCTCCCTTAAATTTTGAAGTGCAAATTTTATTTAGAAATTACCAATCTTTTCGGACAAAATAAGTAATTATGCATATAATATAAAAAATGTTGAAGCTACCTGCAGCATGAATAAGACCCAAATTCCAAGATTACAAAAAAAGAAAAATTGAAATAAATGAACTGATATTGTAGAGGTAGAAATAGAAAAGGGCATACCGGCAACTGGAGCAACATTATCGGAAGGGGTCTTAATCGCCGCCGGCACGGGCGGGGGTGTCCGGTCGATGGGTTTCTTCAGTTGAGACGATGCCGCATCGACGTTAGAACTTCCGATCCTTCCAGTTGCTCGACGAAATGCCTGACCCATTTCCCCCAAATTAATCCCCTTTATACTCCAATGTTATGTATACAAGACTATATCTTGATATAAGTCTGGTTTGATGACGGGTTTAAGTTCTTTAATTTGTCAGTAAATAACCGATTACTGAATCAATTGAATGGAGAGTGAAATTGTTAGATTGTTTGGAGAAAGAGACAGAAAGGAAGGTGAGAGTATTTATAGTTGGGACATTGGGATTGCGTTGAATACAACATCCACGTATAGGATTTTACAATGAGGCACGTCTCTAGTGTTTTGTGTCGCCTATAGTTGAAATGTTTACGATTCTATGTTTATATTGGATTACACTAATTTAATTTAATGCAGTCTAAGTGATAAGCTGAAGATATTAAGATAAGATATACGTACATTATAATTGCACTTAAGGGTCTGACCTAGTAATTAATGAAATAGCAGAAAATTTTGATGATCAGGGTTTAAATTTCAGTGAAGACAACAAACAGAAAGGTGAATTTTACTCATATGCTTAAGCTTTGGTGTGGAAAGCTACCCGAGACATGTGTCGTGGAAGATAGCATGTAACTAAAGGAATGACCAAGGTGTGCACAAACGAATTCAGAAACCATTATTATAAGAGAAAAAATACGTAAAAATACATGATACAGTCATACCTCTCTATAATAGCATCCTTACAACACTTCACTATAAAGCCATATATTTTCCGGAACTAAATTTCATGATCTCTTATAATATATGTTCTCTATAACAGCAATCCGCTATAACATTCAAAAATATCCGAAACAAACGATACTGTGAGAGGTTATTTGACTGTATCATTAAATAAAAAGAATGCAAAGTTAGACACACGTCACACAATCAATATTTACTTTTAATCATTGTATTAAATTTATCGGTAATTAAGTGCTAAATTGAAAACACATATTACTTGTGACTTGATACATGAAGTAAATTTTTCTTCTTTGTGTTGTTGGAACTTCCGTGTTTCTTCGTTTTTTTCTTTTTTCATGTTCCATATTGTGTTTTCATCAGAAACTTTCCCATCAATTATGTTTTACAGCTTGTCTGGATGGTTGTTCCCGTTGTATCGTATTATATTGTTATCCCAAAATAATGTTTGTTTTGATTGTTTCGTTAAATTGGTTGTATTGTATTGTTAAATCCATTGTTCCGGAACAATGAAAAGTCCCCTTTTTTGAAACACCGATTTGGTGTGGCGGGATTGTTTCCTATTTTTCTTTCCGATTATGCCCTAACATATTAATCCATAATTATATTTTATCCTTTAGCTTTTTTTGCTATTTTAACTCCAAATCTCCAACCTATAACCTACTTTATTTTTTTCCAGAACTTCTGGCCCCAACGTTAAAGGTGTTTTGCCGCCTTCTGTTTTATTTTTTCTCCTAATTTGCTTTTAACTCAATTTTAATTAGTTGTGCTCCTTTGTTTTGCCTTCTTCTGTTTTAGTCCTTTGTTTTGTTTTCTTAAGGTGTTTTGCATTCTTCTGTTTTGTTTTTTAAAATTATTTTTATGCATAAATTTTGATAAATTTAATATTTAAACAATTGAGGATATTTTAGTATACTTATCAGTTACAGTGTAGTACGATACAGTCAAACTAAACAACAAAAAAATTTTTAACAATACAATCTATCCAAACATTGTATTCATAAAACTATACGATACAATACATTATAAAACGATGGGGAACAATGATCCAAACAGAGTGTTAGTGTAGAACAACGCCATTTTTTGTGTTTGGTCAACGCCTTGCAAACTATTTGGACCGTTGTATTAAACTTTGAGGTATTATCACTTTTAGCCCGCACCCTAAATTATTAAATCTGGTAACCGAAAAAGTGTATAATTTTTGTATATAACAGACAGAATATGTATGTATGTATATACTATTTTTACGGCGGCTATACAGTGTTATTTTTCCTTGAACACTTTAAAGTTTCATTGCCATAATCTTTTTCAAAAAGTATAAAGTATATAACAAGAAATGTAATGATAAATCCAAATTTGCATGTAGTCTCAATATGATAGTATTGTTCTTTTTGGTTTATTAATACTAGTTCTATAAAAATATCAATAATAGAATTAAGAAACTGTTATCTCAAAAGTTATTACAAAACTTACGAGTATAAAACAATATAAATAAATCACGGGATAATCATAGCAAATTGTAATAATCCGTTGGACCCAATGAAAGAAACGAAAATAAGTACTCAGGAATAAGGGTAGAAGCATTAGAAACCTTTATTGATAATATTTGTTTGGCCTGCCTCTCCATGGAGAGGTTCAGAACCTTACAATGGTGTTTTCTTTTCCCATAAGAGGGGTATATTTTCTCCATTCTCTCTCCTCTCACTAGTGGTGAAGAAGCAGCCCCCTTTCTAGGGCTTCCACTCTTAGTATTTATAGATGTGAGCTTCGTGAGCTGGCAATAAATGGCCGTGGCCACGCTGAGGTTCCGTCCCCGTGGGGGAATGAATGGGCCGTGCCCTCGTAGATTCAATCGGACAAGAGTCGAATCCTCTTATAAATAAGTGGCCGTACCACTTATTAATTATGGATTAGCTCAAGAGGAGATTAACTCCGTTAATTACCGTGAGGTCAGATTCTGACCCATACAGTTAGTCCCTCCGCTTATTGAGGTCGTGTTTTGGCCGAGCTCGATGAGCGGATTTCATCGATTGTGATTTGAAAAAACTCGAATAAGGGGATCGACTTATTGACGGCGGCGGCCTTAGTCGTTTACACGTTGGAGATGGCCGTAGCCTTTCATATATTGGAGGTGGCCATAGCCTTTCATATAATGGCGATGGCCGTAGCCTTTCATATATTGGAGGTGGCCGTAGCCTTTCATATAATGGCGATGGCCGTAGCCTTTCATATATTGGGGGTGGCCGTGGAAAATGAGTATGCGCCGGGTACGTATTTGGTCACGTCCAGAATTTTGAAGGCGTACGGCGCATTCTTTCAGCGTTTGCAGGCCGTTGCGATTATTCTGACGGCGGGACGTTGGCGGATGGCTGAGAAGCCGCTTCGCGGAGCTTGTCATAATGACGCTTGCTTCGGCAGAATCAAACCGTTTTACGGTTGGTCGTGCAGTTAATGATGGCTATTGGGTTTCGCGAAAGCCATTTATGTTGCCTATAAAGGTGGGTTGAGGCATTCATTTCTCATATCTTCATTGTTCATCTGAGAGAGATTCTGAGGAAACTTTTTCATTTCGCTAATTCATCTTCTCCTTTCTTTCCTTTGATTGTGATAGCATTTGTCTTTAGTAGATCAACAATGACAGGCAGCTCTTCCCACGGTGCTCTTCCGGTAGTCGGAGGGCCACCTCCGGCGATGGGAGGTGCAGAACAGATGGAGTCCGGCGAAATTCCGTCGGTTGACGAGGTGGTTCCTCGGCCCGGAGGTCTGGCGATTGATTTCACCGTCGACGGTGGAGAGGAACCGGTGGATGAAGCCCCGTTAATGGGGGAGATTGGGATGGCCCGATTACGGGAACAGGGGGTCGTTCCTACCCATGCACACATTGTTCTCGCTAGAAGCAAGGAGAGGGTCCACACCGATCGCCGGGGATACTGCATTTTTTATGCCTATCCTTTCAGGTTGGGGTTCAACATCCCGCTCCCAATGTGGTGGTGGATTTCTGCCGTTATTATGGGGTATGCCCGGGTCAGCTCACTCCTTCCCTCTACAAATTGTTGGCAATGTTCATCAAGTACGCGGAATTGGCCCGTAGGGAGGTCACGCTGCAGCATGTGCTGAGTCTCTACGCTCCCCAGAGAGTCCGCGACACCATGATTCAGGCGTGCCCTCGTGGGTCGAGGGGCCTGGTCATGAAGTTGGATGACGAGGTCGACCCTCGCCCTTTCGAGCACTTCTTTTATATCAGGACCAAGCACCTGGTGGCGGATGCTACTGGGTTCCCAGAGGCTTGGAACCATGCACGTAAGTTCTTTAGCGGTTGAATTCCTTTTTCTTTCCCTCTTTATGATTTGTGATCATGGGCGTTAACTCGTGTCTTTTTTGTAGCTGACAGGTCGCCGCCAGCCCCATTGTCTTGGATACGTGAGTGGGTCGAGGCCGTACTCCCTCATACGCGGGGGATACGCACATGGGCGTCTTTCTGGGAGAGGCATGGCCGTAGGCCCGTGGCAGGTAAAAAATTGATTTCTTCTTAGGTTCTGCTTTGTTTCGACTCTATTCGTCAACCTTGTTTTCTTGTGATTAGGGAGGGCACGCCGCGTCAGGGCCCCTCAGCTGGCCTTCCGTCGGCCTGGTGCAGTTGCTCGGCTTACTGCAGCGCCGGTGTCGCGCTCAACACCGAGGGCGGCATCAGTCGAGTCTTCAGCGGTTTCTTCTCCATCACGGACCCTACTTCGGGACGAGGGGCCATCGGGGGTTGCGCGCCCTAGAGCGGAATCGTCATCAGATGGGGAGGAGGAGAGGCCGTTGATAAGGCATAGGGTCGCGTTCGCGCCGGCTCCTCCTGTGGTAATTAATTTGGGTTCCCCGCCGGCGAACGCGGAGAGGAATGCGGCTGCGGTGCCTGCCCTCGAGGGCGGACAATCAATGGGGGTTGCCCCGGTTGGCTTAGGCCGTGATGATACCGTCGCTTCGGCGACTCAATTGGTGGTTCCAGTCGCTGAGACGGGAGGTAGTTCCTCAGCGGCTGCTGATGTGGGTGAGGATGAGTCTGAATCCGACCTGGATCCCGACGACGTCCGTATGTTCCAGGAAGGCTCCACCAATTCAGCGGTGCGCAGAGAGAGGTGATCTCGCTTTATCGAAGTTCCCACAAAATTGAACTTATTGCTCCAAGGGGAAAGCTTGGTGCCGCAGTTCGAGCTGCTATGCTCGGAGGCCGAGAATGCATCGTTGAGGGGCGTTACGGATGTCGGGCTGATGAATGAGGTAGCCGTGATGGGCTTGAGGGTATGTACTGTTACGTCGGTTCGCTTCTTCTTTGCCTTAGGTTTATTCTTTTATTCTAATCGTCGTCTTTGCTTTGCACTCTTATATGTTGGAGGTGGAGGGCATCAGTCGAGCCAAGGTCCGCTCGGGGATATTTTTGCGGGCGCTGGAGAAGTATCGCCGCTACCGAGATCAGTGCCGAGAGTTGCGCGTGCGCTTGAGGAATGATCCTCGCAGCCGGGCCTTGGTCGAAGAGCTGGCGAGGCGGGAGCTTCAGACGCAGCAAAAACTTGGCCGGACGAGTGCTCTCGAGGAGCAGCTCCGCCGAAAGGATGAGGAGCTCGAAGCGGTGAAGAGGGTCGCAGCTGAG